AAGGGAGCCGTGGGTGACTCTCTGCAGGAACAGATTCGAGAAGTGAGCGAGCGCCAGTATGTGTTCTCTCACTTCCCGATCTATTGAGCCGACCTGTGTCAGTCTCATTGCCACACGTCGGCTCCAACTATGAGGATGAGTGATTTTCCGTAGATAAGCCTTAAATTCATCACAATATAAAACCACTCTGATAAATATTAGTATTTTACACGAGAGAAACAATTGCAACTATGAGGTAATCAGGTAACATTTCCTTCATTTCACAAATCCTGCAAGGAAGAAGAAGAACATATTCACACACACGTTTCTCTATCTACCCCACAAACCAACCTGCAAATGCCAAATAGAGAGAGAGAGTGAGACTTGTGGCAATACCAAGACACAAAAATATCCCACATTGTATTTTTTCTATACAACGAGCCGTTACATCATTTACAGAATTACCTGTAACAATATATCATTTATATCACAGAGAATCCTGCACATGTAACTTTTCATGCAACGCGTTTCTCGGAGCAGAGCTCGCTTTTTCAAGCATCGTAAAGACAATCTCATCAATCAAATCAGTTGTAAATGATACAAAAGTCTTTCAGACATCGATGGATAATATCATACAGAACCCCAACCAACACGGGGGTTCAACTCAGCAAAGTCCAAGCAAGATACACCAGGCCTCCAGAACCTTCCGTGTTAGAGCTGAACTCCAGGAAAACACATCAATACACAGATGAGATGCATATCATCAGGGCCGGATTTACTCTCCCTGCCGCCACAAGACCAGGTTTAATGTAATCCAGTAAGGGGAGAAGCATGGCAGCTGTCAACACTTTCCTTCTTCCGAAAATGCCAGTTGCCTGGCTTTTAAGCTGCCCCTCTGCTTCCAACACTAAGGGGTCTATTCACAAAAGGTTGAAGAGTTTGGAGAAGGCAGGAGAAGTGAACAATCTAGGCCAAAATAGATGATTTGGAAAAATTCTCAAATTCAGCTCACTTTCCACATCAGCTATGTTGTCCTAGATTGTTCCCTTCTCCTGCCTTCTCCAAACTCTTCACCCTTTTGTGAATAGACCCCTAAGGGTTTGAATTAAAAAACATTTGCACAGCCCTTGCCTGTGCAAATGAGATTTACAGCGCTGTATGGCCACTAGATGGAGCCAAAGAGGAATTTTCCTTTTGCTCCTCAGCTCCATCTAGTGGCCATACAGAGCTATGCAAATGGTTTAATGGTTTAATAAATCACATCGAAGTCCATCACACTCATGATCGATATATAGATCTGAGATTCATAGGCGGATGCTGCCGTGACTGAGGAAGGCACCACATGTAATCAGTGATGAAGAAGAAGTCACCGGCACACCAGTCTCCACACTACTATTCCATCTTTATTGATTTTGGATAGTCATAACATCAGAGAACCAAACGGATTCCTTCATCAGGCAAACAGATGACATCACTTGGCCTGATGAAGGAACCCATTTGAATCCAAAACGTTGGTTTTCAATGTGATGCTATGGCTACCCAACGTCAATAAAGACGGAATGGTAGAGCGGAGACTGGTCTGCTGGTGACGTCTTCTTCTTCAGTAGAGTAGGGAAGTGTTAGAACCCCCAGAGGTCTGAAAATCCAAAAGCTTTTCATATTGATATCTGTTCACAAGAAGACAACACAGAACAGCCAATGCGTTTAAGGGGGGGTTCAAAGGTCTCCCCTTTCTTCTACCAGACAAACATCAAAACATATGAATTCTTATATTGATTTGATTGGTACACCAACTTCTAGATATACAAAAAAGTTCATAAAAACCGAAACAAGTGTTCAGACAAAATCCAATCATATATAAATATACAAATGGTGACACAATTCATATCAAAAACCAATAAATCCAATAAAACAAAAGAGAATATTCAATTAAAACAGATAATATTATTAATGTGAAAAAACAGATCTTGTTTCAAACTGGGCAAAATAATAATTTCATCATTTAAATCTTCAAAAATAACCATAATAATATAGATAATAACACGCACTGGGAATTAATTAGAATCAGGAATACATTGTGAATAAATAGAAATAATCCCTAAACCATAGCAATAGCTGGCAATACCGCCGTGCACTAAAACCGAACCTACAGAGCAAGGCTGCAACACAATGGCCAACGGTTTTTATTATCCCTGTTGGGGAGAATTACCCCGACCATTGTCCTGGTGGCCCATACCTCAAAGAAGTTCTGGTGACCATTACCTCAAAGAAGTTCTGGCAACCATTGTTCTGGTGACCATTACCTCAAGGAAGTCCTGGTGACCATTGTTCTGGTGCCCATTACCTCAAGAAAGTCCTGGTGACCATTGTCCTGGAGACCCTTACCTCAAAGAAGTTCTGGCGACCATTGTTCTGGTGACCATTACCTCAAGGAAGTCCTGGTGACCATTGTCCTGTTGACCCTTACCTCAAGGAAGTCCTAGCGACCATTACCTCAAGGAAGTCCTGGTGACCATTACTTTAAGGAAGTCCTGATGACCATTGTCACCAGGGCTGAAAAGAAAGGAACTAACAATTTTAGGTTGTCACTGGAACAGTAACAGACGGAAAATTCACTGCTTTGGAGAGAGTTCCTCTCACCTCCATCTATGCTTCAAGACAAGAAGTATGGAACATTCTCCCCAACTGGACTCAGGCACAGGAATAGAGGAACAATCTTCCAATTATGACACTTGGTCCAGTACTGAGAGAGGATTTCCCCTGCTTTGGAGAGAGTTCCTCTCACTTCCTATTATGCTTCAAGACAGGAAGTATGAAAATATCTCCCAACGGGACAAGATTAGAGGGAAAATCTGTCAATTAGAACACTTGGTCCAGTGACAGTTGTCTAAGAGAGGATTTCCCTTACTTTGGAGAGATTTCTTCTCACTTCCGGCTATACCCTGAGACAGGAAGTTTGGAAAAATCTCCCCAGTGGTAGACAGGAATGGAAGGAAAATCATCTAATGGTGACACTTGTTCCTGTGACAACGGAATGAGAGGATTTGCCTTCCTTTGGGGGGATTTCCTCTCACTTCCTCGACACAGAAAGTAGGGATGCAGCGGTACTGGTTTTTCGGTATCGAGTACCGATATTTTTTTTTCGATACCGAAAGTTCCATTAAGGAAGCGAGGCGGCAAGTAATGACTTGCCACTCGGCTTCCCGATTAGCAGGGGAGCCATCTCCACGCTCCCTCGTCACCAGGTGACGAGGAAGCGAGAAGCCGGCTTTTTGGCCAATCAGAAAGCCGGGGTGTGTGTAATGACACGCTGCCCGGCCTCCTGATTGGCCGCGAGGCTGGCTCCATGCTCCATAGTCACAAGTGATCAGGAAGCTGGGCAGCGTGTAATGACTCGCTACCCGGCTTCCTGATACCAGAAGCTCAAGTATCGGGCTTGGCATCAGAGCATATGGCGGAGTACGAGTACTCATCCAAATACTCGACATTGGCACCGATACTAGTGACGAGGGAGCATGGAGCCGGCTTCCCAGCTAATCAGTATCGGTACATCGCTAACAGAAAGTAGGGAAAAATCTCCCCAGTGGGAAAAAAAAATACAACACCGGCTTTATTCATTCTTTACTTTATCTTTATCCAAAAAAACAGTCTTTAGATATACTTTAACCTTTTCAAGAAAACATTGTGAACACAACATATATACACAATGCAAGATGCATTGACCACTTCCTGATTTGTCCTCCAATACTCCAAGTTCTTGCATTTGAAAGCATAAAAAATCCCCCACAACTACTCCCATCATCCACGTATCATGGCACGGTATGCTGGTACATATGGCTGTACTCACCCGATGATGGCTCTATATCCTTCCTTGTAGTGTCTTCTAGTGTTCAAAGCCCAGACCAGCATCAAAACTACAACACAAACACAAGAGCAAAATTAATCATCAGTCCTTCAAGTGGAACGTTCAGTAGCTTTTCATTGTTCTGGATGCTCCCTTACTTTGGAGAAATGTCTACTCACTTCCTGCTGTGTCCTCATCTCCCTAGTGGCATACAGCAAAAATGAACTCAGCAGTGGTTTTAACCAGCCATACTCTGCCATACTCTGTCCAAACTACAAAAAACAAACATTATGGCCCCGGTCACAGCAAAGTCAGTTGAAGCGTAACTTGAAGCTTCACCATAAGCACTATACAGCAAGATTTCCATTTTATTCGATGGTCCCCATTCACACCTGAGTGTAGGATGGCTTGTAGCTTCAAGCTCATTGCTTGAAAAAGAACATGAGCCTTTTTTGGGGCAGAGCTGCACATTTTGGCCATAATAGACTTCAATGTCCAATCACCTGATGACAGAAACAAGTGGGAAACCCCACTTTGGACAGCAGTCTGTAGCACCTTAAAGCCAAACCTAGCATCAGCAGATGTCCAAACCTCCACCTGGTAGAACTTGGTGAACAGAACAAACCTGAAATACACATGCTTGATGCTGAAAAGCCCAAGAAACACTCACTAAATTACCATAGATCTACCATACACCCTCAGTAGAGAGGAGACACTCATCAACTAAGGACGCTAGCAAAAAATTGAGGATTTCCTGGACTGTGAGGCATTAAATGAGGGTCCTCTGGTCAGTGTCCAATCACCTGATGATACCTGCATATTGCCCAGTCGTCTCTGAAGCTGCCTGTGTCCTGTACTGTTCTCCAAGAAACCAATTTTACTGGCAAGTTAAAAAAAAATCCTATTTTTCTTGCTCGGACAGTACAGAACAGAGACTATTCAGAGATGACTGGGAGGTACCCAAGCAATAAAACAGAGGGGTGGGCAACACAGCAAAACAAAAACCAAAAGGCCAGCATACCAGAATCAATGGGGAAACCCCAACTTGGAAAGCAGCCTGGGGCAGATGTCCAAACCTCCACCTGTTAGAGCTTAGTGAACAGAACACCAGGTACCGGCCTTGCAAACCTGATGTCGAAAAGCCCAAGAAAAACTCACAAAACTACCACACATTCTCAGTACAGAGGAGACACCCATCACCTAAAAAACTTAATGAGGGTCCTCACAGCTATGGTCACTGTCCAATTACCTGATGATACCTCCATATTACTCAGTCATCTCTGAATCTGATGCACATGCTTGATGTCAAAAAGCCCAAGAAGAACTTACGAAACTACCATCATTTACCATACACCCTCAGTAGAGAGGAGACACCCATCACCTAAGGACACTAGGACAAAACTGAGAGTTGGAAGGAGTTAAATGAGGGTCGTTACAGCTCTTGCCAGTGTCCAATCACCAAATGATACCTGCATATTACCCATATTAGTCATCTCTGAATCTGCCTGTGTCCTGTACGATTAAGAAATGGTTTGGAGATACATATACTCTAAAGTGTACGTTCAACCAACACGTTTGTCCTAGTTTTGGATAAACAAGGAAAGGGTCAGCACCTCTGCTGGGTTTTTACAGTTATCCATGGGTCAGTTAGGGAGGTACTTTACATCTCTACTTACCCCTGGATAACAGTGAAAACTTGACAGTTCTAATTAGGGATGCACCAATACTAGTATTGGTATCGGTGCCAATACCGAGTATTTGGGCGAGTACTCGTGCTCGCCCAACTGCTCCGATACCTTCCTCGATACTGGAACTTCCGGTCAGAGGGAGATATCCCCTGATGGGCAGTGCCACGAGGGAACATGGAGCTGGCTTCCCGGCCAACCAGGAAGCTGGGCTGACTCGCAGTCTGGCTTTCTGATTGGTCGGGAAGTCAGCTCCAGGCTGTTTGGCCGGCTTGATGCTGATTGGCTGGGAAGCCGGCTTCCCAGGCAATCAGAATCGATCCGGCCAAACAGCATGGAGCCGACTTCCTGGCCAATCAAAAAGCCTGATGGCGAGTAATGACCCACCTCCTGGCTACATGATTGGCCGGGAAGCTGGCTACATGCTGATTGGCAGGAAAGCCAGCTTCCTGGCCAATCAGCATCCATCCAGCCAAACAGCTGGCTCGATGCTGATTGGCTGGGAAGCCGGCTTCCCAGCCAATCAGCATCGAGCCAGCTGTTTGGCTGGATGGATGCTGATTGGCCAGGAAGCTGGCTTTCCTGCCAATCAGCATGTAGCCAGCTTCCCGGCCAATCAGCATCGATCTGGCCAAACAGCATGGAGCTGGCTTCCCGGCCAAATAGCCAGCTCGATGCTACATGGCTGGGAATCCCGCTTCCCGGCCCAGCAGCATTGAGCCAGCTTCCCGACCAATCAGGAAGCCAGGAGATGGGTGATGACCCCCCTCCCGACTTCATGATTAGCCAATCAGCATCGAGCCAGCCAAACAGCATGAAACCGACTTCTTGAGAAGCTTCCAGATTGGCCGGGAGGCTGACTCCTTGATAACGGAAGTACCGGTATTGGAAATATAAATATCAGTGCTCGTACTCAATACCAAAAAAACGGTATCGGTGCATCCCTCGTTCTAATCCTCCCCACTATCTAAAAAGTGAAAAAAAGGAGGGAATCAGAATGTTTGAGGGGGGAGGGCAGAACAGAAGGGTCAACATTTCCCATTAGTTATGGGACATCTGCGTGCTATGCTGATTACTGTAACATCATTTGGCATTCTTATTGCTCTTTCATGGTGCGGAATATTGGCAGGGCTGGAGAGATCGGTGTTTGACCTGAGGACCGGCTGTGGCTTTGCTGAAGCAGATTTCTCTGGCTATGTCCTCTTCCCCCGGGGATTAGGGATTAATTAGGGTGGAGTTAAATGTGTCACAAAGAACGGGATAGTGTTACTTGCTTCAAAGGGGTGTATGGCAGTCCAGTATGTGGGGAATGAGAGGCATGTTTTATCAAGACCTCAAAATAAAATCGAGGTAATTAGTAGATCTGCTGAATGGGAGCTGGAGCAGTGATGGCCAATAAACAACATCCCCCCTCATGTACTGCTCACGTTATATTTGACTTAAATGGAATGCACAGGGGGGCGGCTAGCCGATCTCTAACTTAGTTTTATTTTTATCTTATAAAATTGGGCCAAAAAATAACGGAATGACTCAGAAGTGCAATAAATCTCCCATACCAGGCAGTGCTGGACTTTCTTCTTAGAAAGCCAAGAACTCTTGGCAAAATGAATGTCGCGGGTTCACCGTGTTATAAATGTTAATCTGTAAAATAATACGTTGATACTAAAAATCTATAAAAAAACAAATCTTTACACTGTAATTCTTACAAGAAGAATGCATGAAATGTAATATGAACACAGGAAAGACTCCGACAGTCTCTTTTTATTCCACATTCTGGTCTATTTATATTTCACGGTTCGGGGAGGCGACCTTGCTGTTTTTTCCTAACTGCAGCATATAAAAGTCGGGTCACTGGGCTGGCTCTGATGCATGACGGGGCTGTTTCTGTCTCAGAAGTGGATGGACATGAATGCACATTCTTTGGCAGGTAAGCCTGTTTTGACTGGAGTTCAGCTGAAGTTTAATCTGCTTGTATTCTGCCTTCCCTGGGTCCCCAATCCCCAAATTTTTTAAATATTACCTTTCTGTTTTAATTCCATGGTTACTCCATCTTTATTTCCATCCTTATTTTAGTCCTAGTGACGTCATCACTGGGTCTATAAGCTGTTCTATACAATGCAGGCAGATCATGGCTGGTGGGAGGGGCCAGCAGGGTGCTGTACAGAGCTTCCTGAAAATATCACAGTATCTGCCTCAGTACTCATTTCAAAAGCCTTCAGCCCTGATGGAAGCAGTGGGCTGGCTCTTGGGTGGAGTTATGTAAATATCAAAATGCCTTGATGGGTGGATGTTGGTCTGGAGAAGTGGGCGGTTCTAGGCAGGCTTTATTTGCATGCAGACTGATCTAGGTAACGCCCACATGTGACGCTGGGCCTCCACAATTGGTAGAACTGAAATCTAATGAATGAAAGGGATGGGCTTGGGACAGTGATGATGCTGGACATCCTCCAGCCAGGAAATGACGCGGGCTGTATGTGACTTGCTGCAGCTTCTAATGTACATTGTGAGAAGCTCTCAGTGTGCAGTGACATCAGAGGAAGAGGAGAGGAGCCGGTACAACTGTGCAAGACTGGAGGGAAGGATGGAGGTCAGATAGAAGACTGAAGGGAAGGATGGAGGTCAGATAGAAGACTGAAGGGAAGGATGGAGGTCAGATAGAAGACTGAAGGGAAGGACGGAGGTCAGATAGAAGACTGAAGGGAAGGATGGAGGTCAGATAGAAGACTGAAGGGAGGTCAGATAGAAGACTGAAGGGAAGGATGGAGGTCAGATAGAAGACTGAAGGGAAGGCCGGAGATCAGATAGAAGACTGAAGGGAAGGAAGGTAGCAGTGGCGTAACAATCACCATAGTGACCCAGGCGGCCGCTATGGGGCCTGGAGATCAGTGGGGCCCGGCCAGGACACTCCCCTGATGCTGTGCGGGCCGCCTGGGTCGCTATGGCATCTCAGGCTGCTGCCTGTCACTGGCGGGTGTGAGGAGGAACGTGTCGCTGTTAGATCACCGACGACCTGTAAGTGATCTGTGCAGTGGCGCATTTCTCCTCACAGCTGCTGCTGAGTCAGTGACAGCCAGCACCTGTGAAGGAGGAAGGCTGGGCCCGGTGTCAGAAGCGGAGGAGGAGGTGGGACCGACGATGGAAGAGGAGGTGGGGCCCTGCGATGGACGAAGCAGGCCTGCCAGCGACCATGGAGGCGGACAGCGGATCAGGGCTGACAGGTAAGAGGTGTGCAGCCCACCTGAAACCCTGCAGAGCCCACCATAGAGAGTCTATGGCGGGCTCTGCAGTGTCACTCTCAGGTGGGCTGTGTGGGATATCAAGTGGGCTCTGCAAGCGCATTCCTGGAAATCACAGGGCCCCATACAAAATTTTGCTATGGGGCCCT